AGGGGGAGGGGAAGGGGGTTCTGAAATAAATAGGGAGAGAGTGGGAGGCGGATAGAAGAGGGATAGAGGAGAGGATAGGTGGAGAGGAAACAAACAGGTCGAAGAGGCGGGGATGGAGCCAGTAAAGCTGAGTGTAGGTAGGGAGTTAGGAAGGGGATAGGTCAGTCCAGGGAGGACGGACAGGTCAAGGGGGCGGGATGAGGTTGGTCGGTAGGAGATGGAGGTGCGGCTTGAGGTGGGAGGAGGGGATAGGTGGGAGGAAGAACAGGTTAGGGAGGCAGGGACGAGCTGGACTGGCTTTGGGATGCGGTAGGGGGAGGGGAGATTTTGAAACTTGTGAAATCCACATTGATACCATTGGGCTGCAGGGTTCCCAAGCGGAATATGAGTTGCTGTTCCTGCAACCTTCGGGTGGCATCGTTGTGGCACTGCAGGAGGATCTTTTTCCATTTTACAATTGATTTTGTTCGAGGACCATTCAGCTCACCCTTATTCCTTACTATTCTTATCTCATATTTCTTATTCCTCTAGTCCTTTATTATTTTCACAAGATCCTTCTTGCTTTAAGTTCAGAGGATTTAAGTTCAGAATCAATTTTAGGAACATGGGAAAGTTCATGATGCTTTGTGATTATGCTAGAGCAGATCAGCACCACATTTTAAGACATATTTAGCGTGTGCACCAGCTGGTTGCCAAAGAGAAATTTTGCTTAAATGCCACTGAGTGTGATATTTCCAGATATTTATTAAAATCTAATTAATTATACATTACAAATTCTGAGCATTTCCAATCTGGATTATTATGAAACTCTTTCAAATCAAAGGATACTGCCTAGGAGCATGGGAACATAGGAGAACATTCAGCCCATTGAGTGAGCTCTGTCATCTAATTGCGTCATGCTGGTTACTACTTCAATGCCACTTTCCTTATCCCTTAACGTTCATTAGTCTCCAGAAATCCATTGATCTCTGTCTTGAATATTTTCAGTGATTGAGTTTCCACAGACTTCAGGGGTACAGATTTCTGGAGTTGCTGGAGTTTGCACATTCTCCCCGTGTCTGCGTGGGTTTCCTCCGGGTGCAGCAGTTTCCTCCCACAGTCCAAGGACGTGCAGACTAGGTGGATTGGCCATGCTAAATTGCTCATAGTGTCCAGGGATGTGCAGGCTAGGTGGTTTAGCCATGGGAGATGTGGGGTTACAGGGATAGGGCAAGGGTGTAAGGGTTCGGGTGGGATGCTCTTTGGAGGGTAGGTGCAGTCTTGATGGGTTGAATAGCCTCTACCTGCACTTTAGGGATTCTAATGATTCTATTCTATGATGCTAGAGAATTCCAAAGATTCACCACCCTCCTTTCAATGTAATATAGCCATCCCCTAGTCTGAGACTACGTCCTCTGGTTCTGGATTTACCAACCAGGAGATACGTCCTGTCTGTATCCATCCTGTCACACCCTGTAAGAATTTTGTAAGTTTCAGTGAGATCACCTCTTATTGTTCGAAACTGTGGGGAATACAGGCCCAGTCTCCTCAATCTCTCCACATAAGACAATCCTGCCATCCCAGGGATTAATCTGTTGAATCTCTGTCACACTCCCTTTATCTATCCTTCCTTAGATAAAGTGACCAAAGCAGTATATAACACTCTATGCATGACCTCACCATAGCACTATACAATTGTCACAAGTCATATTTACTTCTGTGCTCAAATTTCCTAGTGATGAAGGCCAATATACCATTTACCTTCTTCATTGCTTGCAGCACTTCTATGCTAACTTTTAGTGACTCATGGACAAGGACACTGAGTCCTTTTGGATGACAACATGTTCCAACATTTAATCATTTCAGAAATACAGTGTCTTTCTGCTTTTTTAAAAAACCAAAATGGATAATTTCACGCTTAACCACATGATCTTCCATCTGGCATGTTATTGAATTTTAATTAGTCTGTCCATATCCCTTTGAAACCTCCTTGCATTTTCCTCACAACTAAAGGCGTCAAAGGGTATGGGGAGAAAGCTGTAATAGGGTATTGATTCAGATGGTCAGCCATGATAGGATTGAATACAGAGCAGGCTCAATGGGCCAAATGGCCTATTCCTGGTCCTGTTTCCTGTTGTTGCTATGTTTACATTCCCATACAGGTTTGTGTCATCAACAAACTTGGAAATTTTACATTTTGTGCCCACATCCAAATAATTTACATTGATTGTGAACAGTTGAGGACCTGCAACTAATCCTTGTGTACCCCACTAGGAACAGTGTGCATTCTTGGAAGATCTGTTTATTGCTGCACTCTATTTTCTGTCTGTTAGGAACCAATTCTCAATCCACGCTAGTATTTTACCCTGAATCCTACGTGCTGCAATTTTTGTCCTTGTGGGATGGTATCAAAAACCCTATGAAAATCTAAATACCTGTCCAGCAAATCCACTGATTCTCCTTTATCTACGCCACAAGGTCATCACAAAGAAAGCTTAAGTGGGGGGGAGGAAAACTTTTTAACCAGGAAATCAAAACATATCACGAAAGACTCGTCGGTGTGAAACAATAGTACATCACAAAAGTAAAAACAAAGTTTAACTTGGTGGGTGAAATTCTTTTTCATGAGAAATGCTTTAAAAAAACATTTAAAAGTGTTGGAATTTAATTAAAACAGCAGTGCATCACAATAAAATGTTTAGGACGGTGGGGAACACGAAACCCAAGCCCCCAAACACCTGTCCCTCCTCTTCAGCTAATCAAACGTGTTCACAAAGAATTCAAACTTCGTACAAACGTCACAGGAAAAACAATCTCCTGGGCAACAGGAGAAGTGCATCAAATATTTTCTGCAATTACTCAAATTGTTGGACTTCCGTAAAAGTCCATTTTATGATTTTTCCAATCAACCTGTAAAGAGATGTTATTACACACATCTGGAGCAGGTGGAACTTGAAACCTAACTCTCGGCCCAGTGGTAGGGACACAACCACTGCACCACAAGAACATTTTCATTTTCATTTTATAAAAATCAGTTGCAAATATGATTCTACCACTGTGTTGAGCTTTTATTTCTGATATTAGCAGTGTTTCAGGGAAGATTCAGCATGTTTTTAAACAATTTAGTGAAAAGGTTTTGAATTTGAGGCGAAAGGAATATGCTGATGCCATTGTATTTTCTATTGAAAGTTTCAACAATTTTTCGTTTGAGCCTATAGTTGGTTTTCAGATGGAAAGTATTTCTCCCGCTGAGCTGATCGTTTTCTTGTGATCTTGTAGTTATTTTTTGATTCTTTAGTGAAATTATATGATTTCTCAGCCAGAGGAGGGTCTGTCATATTCCGTGACGTGTTGCTGCTATGAAGCTTCTCTGAAGCACTCAGCGTTTCTCCCAGGTACGGTAACTGATTTTTGATCATTTTTCTTTAAAATGAAGAGCCGACATTTTTAACCCTTTGGTGAACAGTTTGGATTTTGGGGGGAAAAAGATATTTTCTACCAAATGTGATTTTTTTTGGAGGGGGTGAAGTTGCGGGGATGTAATCTTTTGTTTGAAGGCCCCACTTTCATTGAGTCTTTTGTGAAAAGTTTTGAGTTTCAGGCAAAATGTGCTTTGTGTACATGATTATGTACAAAGAAATTATCTTTCCTATAGCACCTTGTCAACGATTTCAGAATCGTTTAAAAAGGAAAGAAAGACTTGCAATTGTCAAGTTGCAATTACATATTTTAAGTACAGCTCTAAACAGATTCCCTTGTAATTTCTGAACTTTTGTATTTACTTGTTACCGTGCAGTCTCCATAGCGATTTTAGTGACCTCTGAATATCATGTGCGCAACATGACCTAGTATTTCCATAATAACCGCTTATATAATGCTTTAAAATATCTCTTTGTTCAGTAGCATTGCCTCCTATTGCTTGCTAACTGGGTTCCAGATTGACCCATGAGCAACTGGGACAGATGACCTACACATCTCTACCTCTCCTCTGAAACCACCATAACACGGCGCATCCGAAACACTCCAGGAAAGCTGCGTTAATGTGCAAAGAACAACACAGCGGAGGGGGAGACTCGATGGCCCAGCTTCTCGGAAAAACCAGTCATTTTAACCAAGCAAAAGGAAACATTTGGAAACGAGGAGTGGACCCAGTCTGGGAGCCGAAAGGTGTAAAAATGTAGGAAATGTGGAGGCATTTGGCAGCACCCACCAAGAGAAGACGGGGTTGATTCTGTTCGCTGCCAAATTAATTAAAATAATATACAAAATGAAGGTATGAAAATGAACAAATCGTGGAGCTCTTAGACCAAGTGAACGGTTTGAGGTGAAAACAATGTCGTTCACTTGGTGTCTCCTTCTATAAAGTGTCAGCAGGAAATATTGACCAGGAATTCTCATCATCCCTTTTGAGAAACGTGAACTCAGTTATTGACCCCTTCAGAAATTACTCTGGGAATGAGTCTGTGCACAGAGTGGATTTGAGAACACTCCCTGGTTATTTCCAGTGGCGGCATCTCTCAGGACAAGTTCTCGGTTTTGCGCATTTGAAATATACAGGTATGTGACTCCCCACATTCTCCTCGACCTCCTTCACTTGGGTCTTTTTTAGATGCCAATGGTCTTACCCCGAATCCCGGGAGTTAACGGGTGGGGATACAATTAGGCTCGGGTTGCCTGCACCACGCCATAATTAAGTCTGTCAGAACCCTGTTCAAACACAGGGACAAATCTGCTGCCTGGCAAAACCCAAAACCTGCTCACCATTGGAGCTTTATCTTGAGCCTCGCTGCGTTAAGGTACGGATGGCTTTGTGCTGTTTGCAATTGTTTTGTGGTAAATAAAACTCAGGGCCCAGAGATTCACCCCCTCCAGTCACAGCCAAACAAGATTTGATCTTTGTTTTTAAAACAAAAAAAACAAGTCACTAGGAGGGTTCAAAATAAATTTCTCTCTAGTTTTCCGCGGAGGATAGGCCGAGTTTGAAACTCTTTAGCGTCTTTTTTTCAAAACAAAACAAAACCCTGCTAACATCTGTGCGCTAGCCGGCAGATTACTGGCTACACTCTACAATGTACACAAACATCAGCCTCTCTGTTTATAAAGTCCAAACACACCGCGCCCTCCCAGGGTCACACAGAGACAAGCCACGCCATGACTTGAAAGGTTAAAAGTCGATTGAGGTGTCTGAATTTGGATTGGTTATCGATGCCTTGGCAATTTCGACAACTTCCACCTTTCCTAAACCTTGGGTTAGGGCCAAACAGACTTCGCTAGTAAACATTTAATACATAACAAAAACGGAAATTGCTGGAAATGCTCAGCAGGTCTTGGCAGCATTTGGGGAGAGAAATCAGAGTTAACGTTTCGGGTCGAGTGACCCTTCCTCAGAATTGTTCCAGTTGCTGAGCTTTTCTAGCAGTTTCTGTTTTTGTTTCTGATTTACAACATCCGCAGTGCTTTCGGTCAATATTTAATACTTTTCCAGCCGACACACAAGAAATTGCCCTTATCGCCGGTGTGTATGTATGAGTGTATGTGTGTGCTTGTATGTGTATGTGTCTCTGTCTGTATGTTTGTGCATATGTATCTGTGTATGTGTGCCTTTATGTGTCTGTGTATTTGTTACCTGTGTATGTTTAAGTATATGTATCTGTTTGTATGTATGTGTTATATGTGTGTATTTGCGTGTATGTATGCGTGCCTGTGTGTGTACTTATGTGTATGTGTCTGTGTATGTCTGTATGAGTGTATGCATGTACATGTATGCCCGTTGGTGTAGCTATGCATGTGTATTTGTTTGTGCATATATATGTATGTCACTGTTCGTTTGTGCGAGTATATATGATGGTGTGTAGATGTGTGCGTTTATGTACGCGTGTGTGTATGTAAACCTGTATCTGTGTGTGTGCATGTGTGCGTGTCTATACCTGTGTATACGTGGCGAAGAATTTTGCGTGTATAGATACGTATGTGTGCAGATATACAAATGAGACATTGCATACAGGCACGTACATATAGAAATATATATTGTATATAAACCTGCCAATTAATAGACCTCGACCTCTTCATCTCCAACTGCCGTCGAGACATCAATCGCCTCAACCTCTCCACCCCTCTCACCTACTCCAACCTCTCACCCGCAGAACGTGCAGCCCTCCACTCCAATCCCAACCTCACCATAAAACCCGCGGACAAGGGAGGCGCAGTTGTAGTATGGCGTGCTGACCGCTACATCACCGAGGCCAGGCGCCAACTCTCTGACACCTCCTCTTACCGCCCCCTTGATCATGACCCCACCCCTGACCACCAAACCATCATCTCCCAAACCATCCACAACCTCATCACCTCAGGTGACCTTCCACCCACATCCTCCAACCTCATCGTTCCCCAACCCCGCACTGCCCGCTTCTATCTCCTTCCCAAAATCCACAAACCTGACTACCCTGGTCGACCCATTGTCTCCACCTGCTCCTGCCTCACCGAACTTATCTCCACCTATCTCAACTCTATTTTCTCCCCCTTGGTCCAGTAACTCCCTACCTACACTTCCCTATACTTCCGTGACACCACCCATGCCCTCTACCTCCTCCAGAACTTCCAATTCCCCGGTCCCCAGCACCTCATCTTTACCATGGATGTCCAGTCCCTATACACCTGCATTCCCCATGCAGATGGCCTAAAGGCCCTCTGCTTCTTCCTGTCCCACAGGCCCGACCAGTCCCCCTCCACTGACACCCTCATCCGCTTAGCCGAACTCGTCCTCACCCTCAACAACTTCTCTTTCAATTCCTCCCACTTCCTACAGACAAAGGGGGTGGCCATGGGTACCCGCGTGGGCCCAAGCTATGCCTGCCGCTTCGCAGGTTACGTGGAACAATCCCTCTTCCGTACCTACACTGGCCCTAAACCGTTACATTGATGACTGTATCGGCGCTGCCTCGTGCTCCCACGAGGAGCTCGAACAGTTCATCCACTTCACCAACACCTTCCACCCCAACCTTAAGTTCACCTGGACCATCTCCAATACCTCTCTCTCCTTCCTGGACCTCTCTGTCTCCATCTCTGGCAACCACCTAGAAACCGATATCCATTTCAAGCCCACCGACTCGCACAGCTACCTAGAATACTCCTCCTCCCACCCACCTTCCTGCAAAAATGCCATCCCCTATTCCCAATTCCTTCGCCTCCGCCGCATCTGCTCCCAGGATGAGGCATTCCACTCCTGTACATCTCAGATGTCCTCATTTTTCAAGGACCGCAACTTCCCCCCCCTCAGTGGTCGAGAACGCCCTCGAACGTGTCTCCCGCATTTCCCACAACTCATCCCTCACACCCCCTTCCCGCAATAACAACCAAAACAGAATCCCCTTCGTCCTCACGTACCACCCCACCAACCTCCGGATCCAACGCATCATCCTCCGATCTGCAATCCGACCCCACCACCAAAGACATTTTTCCCTCCCCACCCTTATCTGCTTTCCGGAGGGACCACTCTCTCCGGGACTCCCTTGTCCACTCCACAGTCCCCTCCAGCCCCACCACAGCCGGCACGTTTCCCTGCAACCGCAGGAAGTGCTACACCTGCACCCTCACCCCTCACCCCCATCCCAGGCCCCAAGAAGACTTTCCACATCAAGCAGATGTTCACCTGCACATCTGCTAATGTGGTATACTGCATCCGCTGTTCCTATTGTGGCCTCCTCTACATCGGGGAAACCAAGCGGAGGCTTGGGGACCACTTTGCAGAACACCTACACTCGGTTCGCACTAAACAACTGCACCTCCCAGTCGCGAACCATTTCAACTCCCCCTCGCATTCCTCATACGACATGTCCATCCTGGGCCTCCTGCAGTGCCACAACGATGCTACCCGAAGGTTGCAGGAACAGCAACTCATATTCCGCTTGGGAACCCTGCAGCCCAATGGTATCAATGTGGACTTCACAAGCTTCAAAATCTCCCCTCCCCCAACCGCATCCCAAAACCAGTCCAGCTCGTCCGGCCTCCCCAACCTGTCCTTCCTCCCACTGATCCCCTCCTCCCACACCAAGCCCCACCCCCATCTCCTACCTACTAACCTCATCCCGCCCCCTTGACCTGTCCGTCCTCCCTGGACTGGCCTATCCCCTCCCTAACTCCCCACCTACACTCACCTTTACTGGCTCAATCCCCGCCTCTTTGTCCTGCCTGTCTCCTCTCCACCTATCTTCTCCTTTATCCATCTTCTATCCGCCTCCCCCTCTCTCCCTATTTATTTCAGAACCCCCTTCCCCTCCCCCATTTCTGATGAAGGGTCTAGGCCCGAAACGTCAGCCTTCCTGCTCCTCTGATGCTGCTTCGCCTGCTTTGTTCATCCAGCTCTACACCTTGGTATCTCAAATTCTCCAGCATCTGCAGTTCCTACTATCTCTGAATTAATAGAGAATCTGGGGATGACACATTTCTCTGAGCGGGTAGAATCTGAAGCGGAGCATGTACTCTCCCCGTGTCCCGGAGATCGACGAGATGAGTTCCATTTCTCTCCTCTTGGCCCTGCCGCTGTCCACTGCATCCCGGGTCTCTGTCTGAAACGGGAAGTCCTGGTTTGACTCACTATCATCGTCAGTCTGTCTATAAACCTCGAGGGATTCTTGGAAGTAGCTCTCTCTCTCTCACACACACACACACTCTCTCTCTCCGTCTCCCCGGCCCTGTGCACAGTAAAGGCATGCTGGCCTCTGAGTAGGGGACACAAGGGACAGACTCTGTCCTCCCCCAGGGAGAAAGCTGTAGCTGGATTCCGCCCCCGGGGGAAGGCGGAACGGGGCTCTCCTCACTCCAGGTTGAGGTCAGGACCCAGGCCGTCTTCGCTTCAAGGGCTGGCCGACTGCCAGAGGCTTCACGTGACACAATTCCTGGAAAGTCGCCTCCATATGTGGGAGAGGAGAGACAGGCAGGGAGTGGGGGCTGCCACCAGCTCACAGCAACAGTGCCCTTTGCTGCAGAATGCGATATTCACCCACATGGTGAGCCATGCGCCCTCCACCAGCACAAACTCTCTCCCGCAAACTACACCCTGCCTGCCCCTGTCCCTCTCTCCCAGTCTGTCCCCTCTCTCTCCCAGTCTGTGCCCCCCCGTCCTTCTCTCCCAGTCTGTGCCCTTTCTCTCTCCCACTCTGTACCCTCTCTCTCTCTCTCCCAGTCTGTGCCCTCTCTCTCCCACTCTGTACCCTCTCTCTCTCCCAGTCTGTGCCCCCTCTCTCTCTCCCAGTCTGTGCACTCTCTCTCTCCCAGTCTGTGCCATCTCTCTCTCTCTCCCAGTCTGTGCCCTCCCTCTCTCTCTCTCCCAG